GCTAGACGACGCCTTGCTGATGCACTCGGAGGTATTTTCCGAACTTTGTCGGAAACGCTTCAGCCCGCTCACAATGATGTGCCTCTGGCTTCCAACCCGACGGAGACCACGCAGCCCGCAGATGAGGGACAACAAGAGGAACCAGGTCCAGCCACTGAGCCTCAGGGTCCATCTCGCGTTTCGCCAGACCCTTTCCGCCCGTCCGTTTCTGAATTTCCTCCTGGCCCTAGCTTTTGGATGCACCGAGAACCGGGACGTTGGGGACACCGAGGGACACCTCTTCCTCAACCACCTCCATTCATCCCTCTCCCGAATCTATACGGCTCTCACCTTCCCCCGCCACCTCCTATGCCTGGAAGCTGGCACAGATGGGCTCCGCCCCCTCCACCTCCAACAATCCCTGGCCACTTTCCTCCCGGTCCCCCTCCGCCCCGTGCTTCGCCCCGCAGTCCTCCCCCTGGTCCTTACTTCACCCCGTCTGAACTTTCACCACTTATGGGACCCTCCGGATCTCAGGCGAGTAAGCCGACGCCACAAGAGTTGCGGGCTCAAGTGGATGAGGCGAAGGCTCGTTACCGAGCAGAGAAGGAAAAATACCGTTTAGATCGAGAGGAGCGTCGCAAGGAACGGGAGACGAGAGCTCAAGCAGCTGCTGCCGAATTGTAAGCACACAATTTTGTTTTCTTGCTAGATTCTCACTTGGGTTCTCAGAACTAAATCCGCTGCACCTGTTCCCCCTGTGAGGCCTGCGAGGCCGACTACGCCTCCTGCTATTGCGGTGCAGGGCAGAAGTGGTCAGCCAACTCGCGAGATATTCAGTGTCCATCGCCACCACACTCATCTTGGCCACGGGTCATCTTCGAGACTTCATTATGGCCACGGTCGCGAGCATAGTGATCTTAGAACCCGCACGGTGAATAGGATCGCGAAACGTCTGGCAGATGTTCGTACAATCCTCTTTTTTACTTGTCCTAAATCCTCCTTTCTGATCTATTCTCAAAAGATGGGATTTAGTGAGGGCACGCATCCAGACTTACCCAACAAGATTAGAGCCCAGCTTCCCATTGACGGAATCGTTAGAAATGATTCAGAAGACGACATTGTCACAACTTTACTGGAAGACCTCCTTGCCGTATCGCCCAAACCCCCGGTAGCATCTGGTTCGGGAACAAGGGGATTCTCTGGCGCCTGGCACTGAAATATTGTTGAAAGACGGTATATTCGACCTACACAGTATCGTGTTGTACTATAAGCACCTGATGTAACTTCTACGTGATTGAATTGTTTATGTACCAATTGCTTTTATTTACCTACTGAATAGTTATGCTCATTCCATTATGTATCACAGCAAGTCATTGCAAGACTATCACATCATGACGATCAGCGTACGCACAGTGCGCTGGGTTTTGCGCTGAGTTTTGCACCGGGAAACATCATGTAACTCAAAGACATCACGGAATTCTACAAAATGGTGACACACGAGAGGAAACCTGGTCCGTTTTTTTTCCTTCGCACATACAATACAGTAACACCTTTGAGAATTCGACAAGTCCCATCACTGAGACGGTCTAAATCCCCTCACCCGACTCGATTACATCTGCAACATCCTCGTAAAACTGACAACACACACCATGTTTCTCACCCACTTCCCTCAACCTGCACATCACTCCTTCATCAACTCCCTCAGGCGCCGACCCCTCAATCACATCAATTTTTACCTTACCTAACCTTTGTTCACGTTGTAGTCTACGTTCAACCATACTCATATATGCAGCGAAAGTAGGGGTACTGACCAATAGACTCCTCACATTCGGAAGCAAGGTTCCCGAAGCGATATCGTCTAACAGATCATCATGGACGGTAGCACCACGCATCGAAAATGAAGTAACATGGCCGAGACTGGACAGAAGCTCTCTCAGATCAGATGAATGGCCCTGCCACGACTGGACACTGGACATTATGAATGAATCCACAATACATCCTGAACGTGTGATGAAACTTGATATGGGGAGAAGCTCCAAATAATGGTCAAGAATTGTTATAACCATCTTATCAAGAGCTGGAGTTTGAAGCAGGGAAAATATGAGTGATTGCCGGAGAGTTATTGAAAGGGTGTGGAGATGAGGTAGTGTGATTGATATATCTGAAGTGGGCGATCCATCCGACGACGACGAGATGCAGCATGAGAGGCGTTTAATGCAGCGACATTGAGATAGGACAGAGCAGAATGCTGTGATTGGAAGCGAAATTTGTTCGAGGAAAAGCTCATCGAGCTCATTCCAGACACAGGGGGATAGGAACAGAAAGGATGGAACAAAACCCAAGATAGTAAAAGATTTGATTCTATGAAGGATGAGAGGATCGCACGCCTTGGAAGGTGATTTGACATAGTATTGAAGATCAAGGCGATTGAGCCCAATGCAGCCACGCAGTACCTTTATGAGTACATCGATGTCCTCTTCTGAACGGCAACTAATGCAAAGGGAAATGAGGTGCTCCCATGGAAAATTCATTGATAGAATCATTCGCAAAACTCCCCTGGACATGTCGAGTTTGAGGAACTGCAGACGAGCTGCCATGCCAAATTGATCATGGTCAGTTCTACCCTGTGTTAATTTGCCATTGTCTCCTCGAGAACGGAAGGTGCAAGTCAAGTCAAGGGCCACAACCCTAGATAAAGCTTTAGGAGGAAGTATCCTCCAGAAGTCCAACAGTTGCGAATCATCGAGCTGCCAATGGAGCTCATCAACACGACTAAGATAAGGCAACAAAGCGGCCTCGACTACGTCGAGTGCATTCACAACGTGAACGCCTATCCTACAAACGTCGGGTAGCGTAATCATTGCGCGCTGTACCATACCAGGCGAGGTGCATCTGTCGGTGAGGTGCAGAGTGGTAGTTCCCCAGAGCTCGGTCATGGAACGGGATAGACGCCTCCAGGTGCTGCTTACTTGGCCTAGTACCCAGGAAGGCGAGGATAGCAGGGGTGGGATGGTTGTTTCAATAATCCGACGTCCTGGAATAAGAAAGAGGAAAATTTGTTGGAGAAGTTCGGGCGGTAGGCGGTCATGTGGTGCTGATACGGTGTGCTTAGGGTGTCCCAAGTATTCAGTGGTGTTGTCATTAGAAGCATGGACGTGATGAGGCATATCCTGCAACCCCAGAGGAAGAGGTTGTCCACATGCAATCAGTTCACTGTGTACGGCCCCTGCGGATTTAGAATCGTTCACATTGTTGAGTCTTTTGGCCGCCGATCTTTTTTCCATGTCAAGATTCGTTGCTTGACAACGAGAACTAATGTCAGTGTTGTTGAACTTTCGTCAATTCGAAAGAATACCTATCTGTGATAAAGATAACTAAAGGTTCTGTTCAAGATCTTTGCCAGGGTGTTTCGAGACGAGTTTAAAAGCCCTTCATCAGACACCGGTGACCCCCACGGGTACTCTTCGAGAAATTTCGGCACTTACAAAGACGTGCGTGGACATCGTGCAACAATTGCATCTATTTGAAGGATATCGCGATGGAAAGAAAGACAACTTAGGCCGTTACGCTCAGAGTTCAATCAATTCCCACCCGTGTGTCGAAGCACTGATTGACTTGATGTTGTCAACGGGCCCCGACGATCTTCCATTGTTTTGCATCACCAGTATTCTCCAGTATGCCGGCGTCGTTCGATGCACCTGGTGGGGAGAGGGCCCGATGAGATTGACCATATAATGAAAGAGTATTTTCCATCCGCTTCATTCGTCCTGATCAGCGCATGTCATAAAAGGTGATCCAAATCGAATCAAATTTCTGAGTCGGATCCCAAGTCCTTACATGGAATTAAAAAGGCACCTTCCTCACGAGCATATTTCATGGTCTCGCGACACCTACAACACTGTCTTCGTGATGGCCTAAAGATCTGCTTCCTGTGGTGGTGCTCCTGTGGCAACGCATCAACCAGCGCACCAAGAAAGACACCGGAACAGGAAAGACTTTGCAGTGATCAACAGAAACTAGAAGGACGGCAGGTTTAGCAAAGGTTACGTCTATACGTCAGTGACAGGCAAGATCATTCTTCGCGTCTTCACGGCCGTCTTCGAGCTCCTACTACAAAAGCTTCCAGTGTCTCCTCCAATCTCACTAGTAATAGTACTCCGGGTCAGAGATCGCGAACATTTCGAAAACATGGATAAATCGACGAGTGTAACAAAGATATTGATAGGACAGTGATCAATGATGAGTAACGAAGACCCGGAGAGATCGCCCTATTCGTTCTGGCCTCGAGACGACGTTTAAAGTATAGTGCTTTCAGTGAAAGTGTCTCGAGAAGGCCTCAATTAAGGGACGAATTGACGAAGCTTAACAGGACAGATTCAAAGTTGGGAGTACTTAGACTCAGGCTAGGGATAACCCCATTTGCGGTGGGTAACGGTGGTCGACGGAGCGGGAGATACAGAGCACTATGACCGTCATATCTCGGAAAAAATTGACTGGGGTGATAGACCGACCAAGAGATTACTGGCAGTACAAGGGAGTGCAGGGAGCTGTTCGATAAGCCTGGTCCAATAAGTCTCAGCAATTTTCACGACAACTCCATGGCCACCATATTCAGGCCTGTCAGTGTCACTTGCTCATGCCAACTTTTCATTGTGGCACACAGAAGAGATATACCACAAGTGCACGATCAAGATGTTCTATTCAGTGCATCGACGTTTTGGTAGCTATTCTCAATCGGGCTTGTGATTCAATCTTTGATATGTAAAAGTAGATAGGAAACTTACTATGGTCACTGGGGAAGGGGAAGGGCAGCTGCCGCTGGTCGCATCCGAGTAGTATCAGCTTGTGTCACTATCTTTGTATTAGTATGGAGAGTTTTTTTGAGCTTCACAAGCTCGAGAAATGGACGCCACCCGCCGAAAAATTTTTCATGCCCAAAGGACTTCATACTTCGGATTTCCGGGCCGAACCTCTTGCATCGAATATTCAAGACGCCATTGAGGACCAGTCAAATATATGGCGCTGTAGTGTAGAGGTTATCACTCGAGATTTTGATATACCACGATGACTCATAGAAATCTTTCTCGAAACCCAGGTTCGAGTCCTGGCAGTGCCTCTGTAAGATTGACGGAAGGAACTTCTTTTTTTTTGCTTCAATCAGGAGGTGGCGACATCCGATCAATGTCGATGTTTTCACCTCAATGTACTTTAGTAATACTTTTTACTCAAAGTTTTCCCGCAGGTTATAGACTCAAGTAGTCCTCAAAAAATCCGACAAGAGGTTCTTTGAACAAAAAGAAAAGAAAAGAAAAGCATCGGTACGTGTATGCTACAACACATTTTACATGGAATTTCAAAAATACGGAGATGTGGCGTACTCAAACTCGTCCGCCACTCACGCTCACGATTTAGAAAAATAACCATCAAATAAGACTTTAGAAAGCGCCTCTCAAACCAATACTCATTATAACCTTCAAACGACCACACTTGTCCGACCTCAGACTCCACGAGGAAAAAAATAAAGAGACCAAGTTGACTAGAGAGGCACTATATGTTCATGGTTACGTTATGTCTGTACTACGAGAAAATAATAAACGAGCAATAGAGGGAGCCTATTATCATGTATGCTCAAGATGGTGTAAGTAATAGGAAGAAAGCTATAGCTAATTGTACATCGTCCGTGCGCGAACACCGTGACATCTGGTGGGAATGATGGCTACAGTGGATGGATGGATGAATGAGAAATAGATGGGTTGGGTTGGGCGGATTGTAGAGTACTGCTGGTTTGTGGTGGGTGGGGGTCGAAGGCGCATTACGGTGTAGGATGCTAAACTTTGTAAAATACTTTGAATGGAAATGGAGAGTGTATGGAGAGTGTATGGATGGACGGATGAAGACCGACAAGTAGCGGGAGAAGGTTCATGATGGGTCGAAGAAAGTAAACTTTGAACAAGATAAATATACCCCAAAGGCAATCATGGTTGTGAACCACATACTAAACGATCAAGTAGGTACAAAGAAAAACATGGTTGATCAAGAAGATGACCAAGAACGGCGGGAAGGAGGGAAAGGAGAAAAAATGGTGCAAAGAAACGAGACACAAAACATAAGACACAAGCCAAAAAGTTTTTTTTTTTTTTTTTCATGCAGCGCAGCCGGTGGTCCAGCATGTCCGTCAACGTCGGGGTGGGGTTAGGAGACGCAACCTGCCCCCCCGGCACGACTGTACGCGTCACCTCACAAATAAACACACCCACCACCCACTCATCCCTGCTGCGCCAAAATCCTCCTTCCATGAAGCGCAAGTGGGGGCGGCAGCTCCCTCTCCCTCTCCCTTTCCCTGTCGCCCCGATCCCTCTCAAACGAAGCAGGCGGCATCGTCGTAAGCGGGGACCGCGCGACATACGCAGTCATCGATGGCAAGGTTGTCCCAGCACCAGCATCAGCACCATTCACACCCACACCACTCCCCTGCCCCTGCTGTCCCTGCCCTGCACTCCCCCCGGCGCTCCCCGGCGGACTCGGTTCGTCCCTCAACGGGATCGTATGCGAAAGCGGCGACGGGACGCTATAGAACTGATGTCCCGGCCCATGCGGATGCGGATGGTGGTGCCCAGGTCCTCCAGGTGCATAATGCACGAACCCCATCGGCGGGCTCGGGGACGGTGTGAGCCTCAGTCCCACTTTCGTGTCCTCGAGCGGGTTGTGCGAGGGCGTATGGTGGTACAGCTCGCCCGACGCGCCGACGGACGCTGAGAGCGCCGCGCCAGAGGAGAGACGTACAGGCATGGACGAGGCTGCGGGTGCAGAGGCCGATGTGCCGGGGATGTAGGGCGGCGTGGACGAGGCCTCACGTTTGGTGATGCCCCCGCTTGCGACGGTGGGTGTTGATTTGTCTTTACGCCGTCGTTGGGATGGGGGGTGGCCTTCTTTTTTAGCACGTGAGCGGGCATAGCGAAGACCACAGCTGCGGAGAGGTAGGTGTTAGTCACGAGGGTAACGAGAGAGTGAAACGTGTATGTAGAAGAAGAGAAGAATGATGACAGTAGAAACACGCACAAAAGTCGTGCAGGAAGGGTGCCGAAAGCTCGCGTAACCGGAGATAACACGCCACACCCGGCTAAAGCGGAGACGCCAACATGCACAAAAGTCGTGTCGTGCAAGAAATAAAGCAGATGGATGGATGATAGACAGACATAAGCGAACGTCTCGCGGCTCGGAAGGGAGTCACCGAGACACGTGTATCACGCGAGTGCGCTCGCACGCACACGGAAGAAGAAAAAAAAACGGGTGCGAAGAAGAGAATGAGACATTCCCGAAAGAACGTCCGAGACGAACGTCCCAATCGTCGAGCGAGTGTCGACGAAAGACAGAGCAGGAAAAGAAAAAAAAAAAAAAACACTCACGCATTGCAAAGCTCCTTCTTCCCCGATGGTCCCTTCCTCCACTCAGGACTACTCGTAACTTTACAACTAGAGCACTTCAACACCCCATTCGGTCTATTCCCCGCATTCCTGCCACCAGGAATGACGTTATTCCCGAATGCATCTCCGCCAGCCACGCCGGGACTGGCGCGCCTCCTCGGAGGGGGCACGAGCCCATCCTCGGCGGGGAGCGACCGATCGCTGGCCGCGCCGGGGGAATACGAGCTCGGGTTGGTGCCATAAGGCGACGCGGGGCGAGGCAAGTCAAAGAGCGGGGTGCCCTGGGGACCGCCCGGTGCGAACGGGGGTGGCGGGTACGAGCCGGCGCGGAGGTTGCTCACGACGGGCGGGAGCGATGAGACAGAGTGGGCGGGGCTCGGGCTGCCGGAGCCCCATTGTTGTTGTTGCTGCTGCTGAGGGGCATAGTCGGAGGACGAGCCGCTCCAGCGCTGGGGTGGGTAAGGGTAGGACTGGTATGCCGAGGCAGTGAGCGGGGGGAGGGCATAGGATGCAGATGGGGGAGGGTCATAATAGGATGATGGGTAGGAAGAGGTGGGTGAGGTAGTGGGGGGGTTGTATCCTAGCTGCTGCTGCTGCATGGTGGCAGTTGAGCTGACAGAGCTGCGGGGGGAGGGCGAGGTGTCGACTTTGTGGCAGGCAAAGATGACGGATCCTAGATATAGATGTGAATGGAGAAAGGAAGGGAAGAGACATATGTCAGCATGGGGAGTGATTCAGGGCGTGACTTGTGTGATACATTGCAACAAGTGAGACGGGACGCACCGTGGGGGATAAAAATGCTTTCGACTTGAATTCCGGGTGCAACGGAAGGGATGGATTGAAGGGCCTTGTAGCGGCGTGTGCAGCTTGTTTTGGCGTCGTTGGCGTCTTGATTGACTGCACCGATTTGGGCATTTTCGACGAGACGGGCATAATCTTGGCCGTTGGGATGCTGAGTGCCCTGGCCAAGATCGGGGGGCCAGCAAAGGAGAAGAGGGCGGCCGTCGCGGTTGTCGAGGATCTGAAAAACACGATTCATAGGAGTAGTTGGCACAGAATTGAAAAGATTTCGGTAACACTGGCTGATTTGGTCGGGGTCCATGAGGGGAGTTCCACACCAGTTGGACCAGCCGGACTTGTGATGCTCGTCATTGTCAGTGGGGCTGAGGTCGACGATGGCATGGATAAAGCAGAGGACAAGACCCTCTGCGGCCCAATTGATGACAATGTCGACAGCCATGTAATTGGTGTCTAGGGCGATTTTGTCGGCATCGTGCCAAGGATTGAGGGGACCGTCGTAGCCGAGCAGACGACGGACCCTGGAAAGGCGGGAAAAACGGACACTAGAAGAGAGGTGAGGGGGAGATGGATAAGAAAATGATTGGGAGGCTTACCGAGTGACGGAACCATGGAGGGTTCGGCTGTCGAGGACGCCACCGAGGTCGACCTTGGCAGAAGCCTGCTCGTCGGGATGGACAAAGTCGAGAAGGGGCTTTGCGAGGAGGACCTTGGCCTGTGCATGGAGGTGGCTCTGGAGGACGGGGTCGAGATAGACGAAGCAGAGGTCAGCGTCGAGGAGAGCCCAGTCTGTGGGCAGAAGAGTCAGTGGATGTGATCGGAGGCGATCGCAGAGACTCACAGCAGCGAGTGTGGCCGAGCTTGGGGAGGGCGTGGGGGTCGGCGGGGCTGGCGTAGGCGGGGTAGAGGGGTCCGCCAGGGGAGGACATGTCGGAGCTCATGGACGCAAGAGCAGAGAGCCCTTTCATCCGAGACATTTCCAATGCAAAAAAACATCTGGGTCGCTGCTGCCGACGGCGACCTCGCCCGTGTCCAGGCAAGTCCCAGTCCGCTGCCGTCGTTGTCTGCTCACGGAAGCACAGCACCTCGTCGACATTCAATGCAAGTCTCCTCTTTTTCCCGACTGACTGTCCCGTCGACCCTCTATCTCTCCAGCACTCGACCCCAACATCCCCGACGAGAACACCTACACTCCCGTGTCTGTCCCCGTCTGTCCGCTTTGTCATCCTCCTCCTCACCCCGTCCCAGCCACGCCGCCGCGAGTTACGCCCAGCTCCATGTCCTCCGCTTTCTCCTTGCCCGCGGTCCGTCCCTCTCCCTCTCCACCTCTCTCTGTCTCATCACCCTTTCCAGGTGGAAACGTGAACATCACCGACTCTGACGGCGACACGCCCCTCTACACCGTCGAAGACGTCCAAACAGCCCGCTTCCTCGTCGAGCACGGCGCAACAATCGACCACCGCAACGCCGACGGAATCTCTGTCCGTCTTCCTCCCTTCCTTCCCCCAAATCCCAATCTGACCCCCCCACAGCCAATCCAGCATCTCTCTCAAGACTTTCCCGACGTCTCTGCCTACCTCCAGTCCCTCCTCCCAGCGAGTCCGACTCACCCACTCGGAAACCCGACCCCCTCCCAGCATGCTCAGGACGCCGAGGCCGAGCACCTCACGTCCGCGCTCATGGCCTCGGTCGCCGACATCATGCAGCGCGCCGAGGCAGAGGGGCGCGACCCCGACGACGAGCTCCGCGCCGCCGTCTCGCGCGCCGTCGCACAGGGCGTCGTCGCTGGCTACCAGCTTACTTCTTCCTCGACGGACTCGTCGTCATCAGACAGTCCCTCAAAGAGACCAAGGACAGATCCATAATCTCATTCTAGATTGACTCTTTCTCTTTG